AGAATGAACCGATACCATAGAAAAGGGGAAAATCACAAATAGAAACTGCGACCTTTTAAATTTTACTCGGTTAACGAGTCTGTCCCTGCGCCAGTGAGCAATAGGTAAACAAACGTGGGGGGCTTTATTTTTAATTTTAATATTATTGCTCCCGATAATATATTGAATAAATTTCTATGGAATTGGAGAACTATAACTTTTCGGAACAATCTCGATTATTGTGTTAACATAAAACATGCGCCAATTCAAAAAATAAGTGCTAAAGTGTAAATTTCGCTTTCTTAATATANATATATATATTCGTTGGAAGGTGCGATCTGCTGGAACGTCTAGATGAAGAAAACACGCTTCGTATTCTCTCCTTGCATAGCGGTAGCATTACCGTTGCAGTAAATGAAATGCATATCAGCAAGATGTGCGTTAGGAAACAAGGACATAATTTAAATCATCAACCTGGGGTAGTTGTCAGCTGATAACATAAAGTAAACTGATTGAATTGAAAATTAAAGAACTGACACGAGACTCAAGAGCTGACGAATTTCCTGGAAAAATTGAATCCTTCATCGACACTAGTTTTTTCAACAAAATGCAAAATTTTTAGGCCTTCCAGAAGCGCAATCCAAAAAGGTAGGTATACTACTAGAACCTAATTGAATGGAGAACTTTTGAGGGAATTTGCAAAGCTCCAAGAGTTTGTAGTTATTAACAGTTACCAAGCCAACATTTCAAAAAAAATCCAAATTTCAATATTTTTGTATTTTCTGAATTTTTCGTGCAGATTCTTTTTCATTAATTCTACAATGTAAATAGGTTTCCTTACAGCAAATTTAACGTTCTTTCAGGTGGCACAAGCCAGATTTTTCTACAGTCAGTAATTCTGAAGTTTATAAGCAATTTAGTCGAAAAATTAAAAACACCCCAAACCTGAAATTACTTCTTTACCGTTGAGATTTGGACAGGGATTTATAGGAGGTTTTTTGTTGCATATGGTGAGTAGAAACACCTCCTGAAATTTTCAACACTTATCGCCTTTTTTAAAATTAAATTACTGTCATTTGAGCATTTCGATCTGGTTACTGACACGTTGCTTTTATATGGATACTACATCGATGCTAGTCTCGCTTGTGCCAACCACAGAATAGACACAAAATATACAATTCATATACATACATCACTCACCCTATACAAACATAGAAATCTGGTTACATTCAGCCCCCAGAGCACACGATATTTCTTGAAGTGTGGTCAAGCCTACTTAATTCTCGTTAATAACTTTTACTCCCCAGACTTCACCCAGAGTACTCTTATTCTTCGGGGCCGGGTAAAACAACCTCTTTCTTTCTCACTAATAATTTATTATCATTTCAATAAATTAACATAAACATGACACACAAACAACGATTACACCATATACATTTAAAAATTCCATTAGCTCTGAGAAAAGGAAAGATATGTGCCCCAAGACGATGCATAGGTCGGACGATATATTAAAATATTACCTATAAAAGTTAAACTTTCTACAATTTAAACAAGTTGAATGTTATAATTCAATTTTTACCACGAATAATATTGAACAACAATAAACACCAAAACAAAATACAACAATAACGTCCGCCAAATAGGCAGTAAAGCTTCCTCATATTTTGTGCAAACGTTAATCCGATTGGAATAAAATTCATACAGGAACATCTAGAAAGGAACGCGCATAATCCCTGAAAATCGCATAAGAATTCGTATAAGGCGATCGTACGTTTTTTCATGCGCAAGCGATTCCGTTTATACGATTGGGATGAAATTCAAGGAAACCATCTAGAAACTAACCCGCACAATCTCTGAAAATTTGCTAAAAATTGGTGATTTTGGGGTTTTGCCGGTTAGAAGGAATTGACCTCAGACAGACAGACATGGAACCGAATGTGTACAGAAAGGACTTAACAAAAAATGCAAGTGGAAATTTTAATTTTGGAATTCAAAAGGTTTTTTGACAACCCTCATAATACAATGCTTCCCTACCTTCAGTCGTTTGGAAGCAAAATTTAATTTAATTTTAAAAAACAAAAATTAGACTGGAAAGGTTACCTATTAGTATAATTCCAAAATAGGTACATTCCATCACATTTCACTATCATTATCTTTACTCTATAGGAGTTCTCTTAGCCACCGCCTCTTTAGTCTAAGTGGAAGGTTTGAAGGGATTCGGCGGGATGAGAGCTGTTGGATGAGTGGGTTAATGTTGATTGGGAATGATTTGTACAACTTGGATATGTAGGATAGTGTCTCGTACGGAAGGTAAATTAAGGACTTTGTGGATGGTTTCATGCGATTAGTAGAAGGGGGCATTTAGGTGAGCTCAACATTTTCAACCGTTATTTTATTCATAAATAACGGGCACCTACGCGGTCGCATTTTGGCCATTCTTGAAAAACTAATCGCAGTACGGTTTTTCCATTTTCTACCTTAAGTCTTCTTAAAAAACTAATAATTGCGCTACGAGCAGTTTAGACCAAATAATTTAAACAAAAATGTATTTGTTTTAGAATTGTATAATCGTAACTTATTGAGGTGTAATGTACCTAATTGAAACTATTCATTACATCAGCACATATGCTGTTTATCATAATATGTTGGTAGGCCGACAACGCATAAGCAATTGTTCGAATGTAGACGATTAGAGTTCTTATACGATGTTTTTTAGTGGAAATTGAATCTTAAATTGACCCCAGACTAAACTATGAGAGACAGGTTTGCTTGGCATTCCGCCCTTGGAGCTCACCCTATTTAGGTATGCCGGGACTTTAGGTCACTAAGGGAAAAAAATCACCTCCACTCCTGAGTGTAATAATGCGAGATTTGCTCGGGATTCGATTTCCATTGTTTCCCCACCCCTCGTGACGCCCGGGGGGCTTTTACCAGGAGGACCCTTTGAAGGCGAGGCCAATAGGGAAAAGAAAGAATGAAGTAGCACAACAACTTGTTTCCAATTGTATTCAAACACTTCAGGGCTAATCGGTTTTAACAATAATAGATCCAATTAAAATAATGCTGTTAATTTTTCTAATGACCCATAAAACTCTGAAATTTTAATTTTTTTCGCTTTTTCTTCCTAAATGATAATAATGTACTAAATTATATATTAAAAGAATGTTTGTCTATAAAAGGCTGAAATCAAAAGTCTACTTATCGGCTAACGCCTAGTCGTAGAATACGTCAGCACTGTTTGGGTACACGATTCAGACTGAGTTTAGGGGGATAGAATTCAGAAGGACAAGAAATATATACATATATATATANTATATATATATATATATATATGGGGGAGGGGGAGGAACTGTTGGTTAAAGGAAAGAGCCAAGGAGGTATAGCCTGTCACGTGGTACCTCGTTAGAGAGCCAAAAAAAATGCAGACAAAACAATTCATTAAGAGCTTAAGTTTATCATCCAGCTCATCAGTGAGTCTCCCCCATATACAACACATCCACAGTCAAAGTATGGCAGAATAAGAGAAAATACCTATTAGGAGTTTACGGGAACTAATGAGAAATAGGTCACTGGCCCGATGGGACTGATGGAGAGTGGAAAAGCAGCGGCGGGAGATGTGGGAAATATGATGCTTCAAAAAGAATGTCTGGTCAAGTACAATACCAAGGTTCTTGACAGTGAAACAGAAATCAGTCCCCAATTATCACCAACTAAGGTTAACTATTGGTAACAACAGTTTTCTGGACCTAAAAACATTGTAACCTTATCTAACCATCTATATTAGTCCCTAATTATCGCCATCAATAGTTAGCTATAATTTTCGATACCTAAACAACACCCAACACCAATAACCGTATATCTCACTACATTTAACTATCATTATTTAAAATCATTAATCATCTCTAACCCATCCCTTACTAAAAGCTTTTAATTTTATTAATTTTCTAGGTTTTATCCATAGTATAGTCCATAGTATATATATCCATAATTAAATGAAGGATTTACCATCCTTAACCATCACTAAGCATTATTATTGTAACTAACCATAACCATACATATCCACCATCTTCCGAAATATTACCCCTAATACTATTTAACCATCGATAGCTGGCACTAACCTCTTAGGCAGTTTGTTTGCCAATTTCTGGATTTTCATATGGTGATCACTAATTTATGGATATGTTGCTACATCCATCTTCTAAACATTCCTAACCGGCATCCATGCAGCAATAATTATCATTGACCTTCAATAACTTTTCTTAATCACACTTACATTTACCATATTTTGCCATACTTAATCGTCATTCACTAACATTTTATGAATATTTTCGTTTTCTTGGTTTTCACACATTGCTTACCACTTTTTGGCTATATTACAAACTTCCTGTACGACAACTGCGAAGTCATACAGAATAGATTCAGGGGCATGTTAGCCTACAAGGAAATGAGGTATTAGATCAAGTTACAAAGAGAGCGGTGGACATGGCCCCGAACTCCCGGTCACTCCAGCGGACGTCAAATATTGTAAGAAGAATATCTGAAGGAAACACTTGCAAAACCGCTGAACGACCATGACTGACCTTGGTACATAGAAAACTTACCTATTCGAGAGAGAATGTTACTGAACTACCTGCGGATAGGTCACACTCGGTTGTCCGACGTCCAATGTTTCCAACACTTCAGTGACATGGTAGGATCTCCTCTAAGGGGTCATGTCTAAGCAGTCGACTCTAGACGTGTAAGAAAACCCTAAATAAAAGGAAACATTCGAAGTATCACCGGTTATGGTCAATGACGTTTACAATGTCTTACTTAAACGTCATTTACCATTACAATCGTTAATTATCTTTTCCATACTCAAAAATAAAAGTTAGCTGAAAAGCTGATCCTGAATTTTCTATATGCACACTCAATGATCTAAAAATTTGTTTTACCCGTCAATCTTTTCCATGGCGTGACAACAAACTGATAGTTGGATTAAAGAAGAAACAATATGAAGGAATATGATATAACTTCAGTCATAAATACTTAACTTTATATTATTATAATAATCTTTACATCAGTTTTAGACTTCGAAATTCATTTTTTGTAGACTAGACATTCTGAAGGGGCTTGTAAAAGAATAATCTCTCTCAGGTACGTGAATTTTGATTTTTTATTTATTAATAAAATCACAGATATCAATGATTTAGGTTCAATTCATTGTCGGTCTGGACAGAGCGGATCTCAGTTTTTGCCAAAATATCTTCTGCTTTTTAGGATCTGGGTTCCACTGTAGATAAATGCGTGTTTTGATCAAATATCTCAGGGTGGGGGTCATGTGGCGGTCCATGATTTCACCGATTTTAATTATGATCAAGGGGTCGTTTTCCTCGTCTTTGAAGAAGATCCATTTATGTTGGGCCATCTGCATTTCCCAAAGGCACCACGTCGACCGAGCGAAGGAATCGCTGAGGACGAGTATCGTCCTCCGGGAACTTGCGAGGTTGGTCATCACGTTCTCTGTGATGACCCCGCCGACGTCGAAATCCCTGTCGAAAACGCACAAGCTGAGAAACGGCTCCTGCGACTCGAGCATTGTCACCAGTTTCACGACGAAGTTCCTGTCCTCGTGGCTGTAGGAGACGAAACCGTCGTACTTGTACTTGCCGTCCGGAGGGTTCCGCTTCTTTTTCGGAAAATAATCGTGCCCCATGGACTGCTGTAAAAGAAACGCCCAGTACCTGATATGCCACCTCAAATAATAAACCGTACAGACGATTAAAAATGTTAAAAATAATATTCCAGCCGTAATGCCCATTATGACAATCATGTTATAATCACAGTAGCCCGTCCTTAAATTGTAATTCAAGTAGTCGATAAATTCCGTCGTCGCCCACTTCCTCGGTGCAAAACACACGTTTTTTGTATCATTCAAATGCATTAGATTTATATCTACCATTGTCAACCCTACAGAATTCATGTACTTTTTAACCATACTGAGCGCGGAACACGTGCAAAAGAAGGGGTTATCCTTCAAATCGACAAACGTGAGGGATGAAAAATCTTTCAACATGCTGATAGTTACTTCGCCGATTTGGTTCGATACGAGTGAGAGCGTTTTCAAATTCTTATTATTGTAAAATAATTCAGTTTCCCATTCTAAGATATCATTGTGAGACATGTCTATTATTTCGACGCTTGTTAAGTGAGAAAACATAATTTGGTCAAATTCCACTAAATAGTTCCTTTTTAAGTTGAGATGTATCAAATTTTTTAAATTGAAAAATACATCTTTATCGGATAATTCTGTAATACCGCAAGATTCCAAATTGAGCCAAGACAGATTTACAAGACCGTCGAATACATCCTTTGTGAGGGCGTAGCTGATTATGAAATTGTTTTGGCTTAAATCTAAGTGGAGAAGGTTCGTTAAATTGGAAAAAGAAAAATTATCTATTTTATAAATGCTGCAGTTAGACAAGGATAGATCTGTGAGACTTAGTAAATTGTAAAACATGTATTTTTTAATGTAATATAAATTGTTTTTAGACAAATTGAGTACTTCCAAAGCCTCCATCTTTTCCAGTTGACGGTCGTGTATTTTAAACAGAGAAGTCGAGAAACAAGTTTCGCAAGTGTTCTCGGATAAATCTAGGTGTACTAGATTCGGAAGGAGGAAACCTTCTATTATACTAATGAAACGGTTTTTGGATAAGTTCAATTTTTTCAAATTGGGGACGATTTCCTCGGTCAGAGTACCGTTTGGAAAACTGACCGCTTTGATACCCGAAAGGTCCAAATGAACTAAATTGGACATCGTGGGAAACGTACCGGGGATCATGGGATCGAAATGATTTTCACTCAAATCCAGGTATGAAATATTCATATGAGAAATCGTTTTTAAAACTGTATACGAATCTTTATGAATGAGATTCGAAGCTAAGCACAGGCTTGATAAATTTGGAGTCGTTTCGTTGATGCCGATCATGAGATCGTTAATGGCAGTTGTGTTCAAGTCGTTGTTTCCTAAATCTAAAACGGTGAGGCCGTATAAGGGAGAAAACGCTCTCGGATCTACATAGACCAAGCTGCAAAACCTAAGAGATAAAATTTTCAATACGCCATTTCTTAAATGTTCGAAATCCGTGGCATTAATAGAATAGAGGAAATTTTCTGAAATATCTAGCATTTCTAACTTCGGAAGAATCGCCGGTCTCGTGCTGTACAAGAATTGTTTTAAGTCTTTCATATTGTTTGTATATGAGAGAGCTTTTAGGCTGACAAGACCTTCGAAAACTCCATCACTGAGCTCTTTCAGGTTGCAGTTGTTTTTTATCGTCAGGTTTTTCAGTTTGGACATGTTTCGAAAAACGCCGGCCTCTATTGTTCTGAGTTCGGTGTTGACCTCGAGGCTCAGGCTCGTTATTTGATCCCAGTGGTCGAAATCACCTCTGGATAACTTTGTTATTTTCGTTGACCTCATCGAGACCTGGTTGCAGGACGAGTCCAACTCCTTCGGTACATCGATGCACGATTCCCCGTAGTAATGGTATCTGCTCGGCGGAAAGAAGATCACCTTACACCCAGTGGTCATATCCTTAGATAGCATTTGGAATTCTCCTAGGAAAGGCTTAGCCGGTTGACTTCCAGGAAGTTCGAAACAAATACAAGAGTGCAGGAATCCCCAAAGAAACAGGGTAATCAACATGTTCGATCATCCTCAGCTGAAACAAATGCAAGAATACACGATAAAAAAACGACTCGATATCAGTCATATAAATTATAAAATAAACCAATAAATAATGGTTTTAAATACATATTTTATATTTAACTCTAATAGAAGTTTAATAAGTTAGTCTGTAAACTCTTGACAGGATAAATCCCCATCATAACTTTGTTCTAAACCAATTAAAATTTTGAGCAAGAGAATTTATTCATGGCTGTCTGAAAAAATTAAACATTATTCAACTGTCTGTTGGCTATATTATAACGCCAAGGTGGCAATGGCTATTTCCTCTCGGCCTGAAGCATCGACAGGACAAACAAACGACTGGGAGATATTGAACTGGCGAGAATACAAATGTCTGGCAACGTCTCTCAACGTTTCCAACTTATTCTAAATAAGAGAAACTCAATACATCTATGGTAAACGTTAAACATCAATAAAGTTAACCCACAAAAAATACAGCAGAAAGTCTTGGACAAACATAAAGCACTTTTGATTAACTTTCTTTACAAAACGTTAATGTGTGTTTATCAGTTTTATCTCTAATAGTACCTGTTGAATGAATCTGTTATTGAATGGCAACAGGGAGAGAAACAATGTTTTATTCTTACCTGAATTTTGGAAAAATTATTAATGAAAATTTCAAAATATCCTCATCAACTGGAGAACAAAGAGAGCAAAAGATAGAAAGTCTTTAAAAGGAATAGAGCGTATAAAAGAGGAAAGAAGAGGATAAAGGTTTAAATAAAAAATAGAGAGGGAGAGAGAGAGAAGAAAGGAGAAAATAATAAAGAGAAGAGGAAAAAAATTGAAGTGAGCGACAGAGAAAGAGTGAAACGGAAGAGTGAGGAGGAAAAGCAAAAATGCATTTGATACCAATTAAAGAAAGGAGAGAGAGAGATGGAGGGGGAGAGGGAGAGAGAGAGAGAGAGAGAGAGAGAGAGAACGAGGGAGAGTGAGCGATGAAAAAGAAAGAATATAAAATCAAAAAAGAGCAAAATAGAGTAAGCAAGAGAGAATTAAAGGAGAGAGAGAGAGAGAGAACGAGGGAGAGTGAGCGATGAAAAAGAAAGAATATAAAATCAAAAAAGAGCAAAATAGAGTAAGCAAGAGAGAATTAAAGGTACATAAATATATACATAAAGAGAGAGAGAGAGAGAAAGAGAGAAGAAAGAAAAGAAAAAGAAAGAAGAATGAGCCAGATATTAGGGTGAGAGAGAGAGAAAAAAAGAGGGAAAACGAGAAAGCAATGTATATCCAGGTAAAGAAAAGAGAGTGAAATCATAGTAAGCAAGGGACAGAAAGACCAAGAAAGAGAAGGAAAAAAGAAAATAGAAAGGATAAAATGAGTGAGAGAAAAATAATAAGAGTGAGAGTGGAAGAGAGAAAGAGAGAGAAAAAACTCGTATAACCAGATAAAAGAATTATATAGAGAGAATGAGGAATAGAGAGTGATAAAAAAAGAGAAGAAAACCAAAAAAAGTGAAAATCAGAATAAGGAAGGTAAAGAAACAATGTTTTTTTATTCTAACCTGACTTTTGGAAAAATTATTAATGACAAATTCAAAATCCTCATCAATTGGAGAACTAAAGGAGCAAGAGATATAAAGACTTTAAAAGTGATAGAGGATGAAATAAAAAATAGAGATGGTGAGAGAGAGAGAGAAGAAAGGTGAAAATAATAAAGAAAAAAGGAATACAATTGAAGTGAGAGAGAGAGAAAGAGAGAGAAACGAAAGAGTGAGGAGGGAAAGAAAGAATGCATTTTATACCAATTAAGGAGAATAGAGAATAAGAGAACGTGGGATTGTGAGTGATGAAAAAAAGAAAGAGTAAAGAATCAAAAAAAAATAAAAATAGAGGTAGACAGAGAGGGAAGAAAGAAAAGAAAAGAAAGACTAATCAGCGAGATATTAAAGTGAGAGACTGGGTGAGAGGGAAAATGAGAAAGCAATGTATATCCAGGTAAAGAAAAGAGAATGAAATCATAGTAAAGACCAAGAAAGATAAAGAAAAAAGAAAGGAGAAATGATAAAATGAGCGAGAGGAAAAGAATAAGAGTAAGGGGGAAAGAGAGGGAGAAAAAAGCAACATATATACAGATAAAAAAATATAGAAAGAAAATGAGAGATAGTGAGTGATAGAAAAGAGAAGAAAACCAAAAAAAGAGAGAAATCATAATGAGCAAGAGACTGGAGATCGGAAGGAAAGGAGAAATGATAAAATGCTCGAGAGGGAAAGAATAAGAGTAAGGGGGAAAGAGAGAAAGAAAAAAAGCATCATATAACCAGATAAAAAATAGAGAGAGAAAATGAGAGATAGTGAGTGATAGAAAAGAGAAGAAAACCAAAAAAAGAGAGAAATCAGAATGAGCAAGAGACTGAAAGACAGGGAGAGAAGAGAAATCGAGAGAAAATAAGAATGAGAGAGGGTGAGTTGTCAAGATTCTAATTTAAAAAAAAAGTGTAAGTTAGAGAAGAAATCAACAGTTAGAGCTAGGGTGTGGACAGCGATAGTTGGAGAAGATCTAGAAAATAAAGAAAGAACAGAGAGTGTGCTAGAGATAGATAATGGGAACATGTTTAATCAACAATTCAGTTAAAACAAACAGGAAAATTGTCATAATTAAAAGTTAAATATTTTATGTAGATAATTTTTGTTTAAACCCACTTTACGTAATTAAATTTTAATATATATTATTCATAAAAATTAGTGCAGGAATAGCGAGAAGGAGGAAGAGGGGAACGAAACCGATTAATGGAAGCCCGTTTCTGGCCTTTTTATACAATTTAAGTCACGACAAGAAGCGGAAAACATTAAGGAAACCATTTTGAAAGAGGGGAATGAAAGGGGTAAATGAAATAGCTAAGCTTTTGATGAGTTAAGAAAGTTTCAAACCTTGGGGAAAGGAATGAGCTTTTAATCAGGGCGGAGGTCTATCCCAGGGTTTATTCATCCACTTATTCGGCACAGGGAAGATGAAAAGGGATAATAAATTACAATTAAACTTCCAAGAGTTTACTTACTTCCAATTTGCGTGACACGTTACTCCGGGTATGTTTGACTTTATGGGATCGGTCTCTGGAAAAATAACTTTGAACGAGTTCAAATAAAATATATTTTAAAGTATTTATATTAGCTTTTATATAGATTCGTCCTTCCTAAAGGGGAAAATTGGGGCAAAAATAAAGCTCCTAAATCTTTAAAAAACACAAATACTAATTTGCGAACCAGACGTATTTGACCATATGACTATAGTTATACTGCCAGATAGTGCCTTATTCCCGACCTTTGATATATAATATTTCTACAAGAGGCCTTCGTCTAAATAAGGTCTACGAGAAGAAACTCTGACTCCCTAACCACAAAAAAAATGTTAAAAATCACAATATTTAAAGTCACCTGGCAAATAAACAAACGTGGATCTTTATAATATATGGATAACTTTTTATAAATTCCAAAATAAATTCATCTTTACTTTTACTAAATTTCAAAAACAACAGAATAAAAGGTATAATGAATTAAATCCATTATATTTCATGGTCTGATTGACCAAATAACTTCTTTCAAATAATTAATCTTTTTATTAAAGGTATTGGTTGAAATGAAAATGGTATAATGAATATTATGGTAGAATTTCCTAAACACAAGAAAGGTAGAAGTTCGAAACGCTTTCCGTACAGAAATATATGCTTCACTATTTTCTTAACAACTTTTTGAAATTATTTTACGTTTGTTCTAAAAGAGATTTTTTTAAAGGAAACAAGTTAGGAAAATAAAATTAAAGAAAATTTTCAAAAATGTGAACTGCAGGAGAATGATTAGTAATGGGAAAAATCATTTCTAAACCTTATTTATTCAGTCGCACTAAAAAATTGCATTTGTGTTCAAATTAAAAATATAAACAAAACCAGTTTTGAGCATTGTGTTATTACCTCTTTTGTGATGTTCTTGATAAAATATTAGTCTTTTATTGATTATTATAACTATAAGGTATTACAAAATAATTTTCAGAATAAATTAAAAATATATATAAATAGAAATCCTTACCTTCTGAAATAATAAATAAACTCGGCTTCACTGACGGCTTTCCATCTGCGTTCTTCACACGACCACAAGTTTGAAACTAACGTTTTCATGTTCGGAGCCATGCGAAAGTTGGAGTGGGTAGGCGTTACTCACGTCGGTTAATTTCATGACTAAGAACCTTCTTCGTTAGCAAGTCATAAAATATTTACCATAGATGTTTACGTTTATTTACATGCGACAAGAACGATGAACTTTATTTAAAAATTTAAACGTTGTCAGCGGTTCAGTCAATTGTGACCCAATTAACCATATAAAACCATATATATGTGAACCATGTAAATCCAATGAACAACGTCAACATTAGACGTTCTTCTAAAATTGTTCGTACTTCTAGCCTTCTGTTATAAATTTTCCGGGGTAGAAAAACAAATCTAGTTTTTTCATTTTGACACCCCGTTTCACCTTGACTATTTATTAAAATGAATTTAACAGCTACAGCATTATAACAATAAAAATTTATAATTTTAACGTTGAATAATGAACAGTCATTGCGGCAAGAGAACCTTCATCAGGAATGACGGATAAATGGAAAGGAACTCAACCGGCACTTTTGTAGACATAGGTGGCGTCGCCGACAGGAGACAGACGGGCACCCTAAAGCAATTACAAATTGGATCAATAAATCTCCTTCATGGAAATGCTCTTTTTTTTTAATCACCACCGAAAACCACCTCACTTGTCAGTAAATATGTTACGATTGTATATTTTTATTTTTGAATTCGGTGAAAAATTTTTGGGACACCAACAGTGAAGTCAATACACCCCCGCTCACTGTAATGACCGATGGCTACTCGATATTCCACCATCAGCCCTTTGCACTGCATACTGCATATTTATATGTTTGAGTACAGTAATCACACACAAAATATAATTTATTTAAAAAGTAATATAAATATACACATATATAATAGTTACAGACAAGAAAATACACCCCCCTTTTCTCTTATCTTTCTCTTATTTAAAATCTTTATTATCCTATCGGGTGCATTCTAGTTGTACTTCTCCTTTCTTCTGTGTCAATTCATAAATAAAATAGGACGATTTTTTTGTAATAATTATTAAGCACATGATTTTGAACTTTCTTGAACTTGAATTTTCAGCAATAACATAATTCCTTACGACCAAAACCTTACATAAAGATTAATTAATTGAAAGAAGTTATTTGGTCAATCGGACCACGAATTCAAATGGATTTAATAGTAAAATGAAGTATATCTCCAATAAAGCTCTCCGTGATCATTTCATTTGTCGCCGAGAATCGAATCCTGATTACACGACATTTAAGAAATGGCAAAAAGGAGGGAAAATTCAAAAGGTTGAGATGGGAAGTTGGTGTCGAGGATCGAAATCACGATAGTTCAAGTGGTAGAGCAGCGGCGTATTTAGCCGAAGGTCGTGGGTTCGAATCCCGCCCGTGACACTGATTTTTTTTATTTCAACCAATATCTTACATAAAGATTATTTAATTGAAAGAAGTTATTTGATCAATCGGACCACGAAATCTAATAGCTATAACATAATATACACTTGAGTGTTAATATGAAATTTCTTTGCTCAAACCTTAATGATAAATCAATCGACATAGAGATAGGTTGAATAATCGAACGATTTGTTGATGGTTGAGTCTTTTATTGACATTTTATAAATTATTCCATTTAAGGTAAACAAAAGTAAATTGGGAAAATAGAATTATATTTGTTTTTTCCTTACAGTATAAGTAGGGTATAATCCTTACTTGGGATAATTAATCAATATTATTGAATCTCAGAGAATTTTTTCTAAAGCATGCATTTTCTGTGATTTTTGCGATGAAAACTCCGCAAAATTACTTTTTACAAACGATGTGCAGTTCGCAAGATTGATAATGGCATGGGCTTTGAAAAAGGATGGTCAATACATCATCAGCCCGTTAACCGCCTCTCCGTTCTGAATTGACAGGTGACATTGTCCTACGTATCCCTTCGTCGTGTGATTCCGTGTAATTATGACCTCGTATATCATTGGGCTGTAAAATCCCTCCCCTGTTCGAGCCGAAATCCTTTGAAATATTTTAATTTTACAAAATTTTTGTCTTCATCGATTTATACAGATTGTTCAATTCTTTTAAATTGGACATTGCTTGTTTGTAGATTTTCCCTTCTGGCAAAGTTTCCGGCTCATATTTCAAATAGGAGATCACCTTTTCCAACTGGGCCTTTGATTCCTGAAATTGTCACCCAAAACCAATTGTTTATTCAATATCAGAAAAATGTGTAAAGAAAGTGTTTTTGACTGAAGAATATGAAAATTGCTGGCACTATTACATGTCTGTAAACTGATTCCTTTATATTATCTTAGTATCTTCCAGTTGTTCATAAATGAATAAAGTAATTATTAATATTTACCATTAATTTCATTTGCATTTCGTTGGTGTTGATCGATTTTGAATCGATAGCTCTTCGGGTCTTCTCAGCGATGGCGGCGTGAAGTTCGAAATGAAGCACCCCCAAAATCCTGCATTCCGCTGAAACAGATATATGTAACAATACAACCCCATTAATAAAAATGTATAATGTACCTCGGAACAACTTTCCAGAGAGATCCAGAAGTTCTCTGCAAAGTTGCTCTTTGAGGTCGAGATTGTTTTTATCGACAGCTCTCAATCCTTTCTCTGACGTTTGGCCTATAATTTGAGCCAGTGTGAGTTTCACCTCGACCAAATGGCAAAAATTCTGAGGAACTTTTGATTTGAATTTTTCTATGAAGTTAATATGGGACATAATACTGCTTTTGTTGACTTTCCCCATTCCGTCGGCGACTTGGATTTGGACCGAAAGCACAGTCGAAGAAGGCACGGGTTTGAGACAGGAGGAACACTTCCAGTTATCGCATTCCTCCAAGAAAGTTTCAGGAAGAACGACGCCTTTACAATTTCTATAATTAAACACACGTTTCATGCTTTAATAAAAGTTAAAAAATAAAAAATTAGTAATTTATTTACGGAGCAGAACAAGAGATGCCGGAAAAATTGGTCCCAAATTCACTTGGATCTGAACATCTCTGACAGCTACATGAAAAGTATTTCGACAAGCGTAAATGCTTCAACCGACTGGGCGTGTTCCAGACAGGATCTGTGTAGGAAATATTCAGATGTTCCCCTGGCCGGATGTCCATCACCGCTCTGATAACGACGCCCCCGTCTTCTGTGAAACTCTTGCTGCAGTTCGGTATACAGTTATGTTCGAACATAGAACATTTGAGGAACAGGGCTATATGACCTGGCTCACTCAAAGGTACCTCGTGGCCGTTGATCTAAACCGTATAAACTCTGTAAACCGGTAAAGGTTGTTATTACGAAAAGCTGCTTACCTGCAGTACGCCGCAGATGCGTATAATCTCTTCTTCACTGAATTCTTCAAGCTTGTAAAACCTTTTCAGAAGTTTCGCCACGGCGAATCTGTCCTCTTCGTATTTACCGTCGGTCATTCTGTCTTTACAGTGCGACTCTAAAGCAGACACCTCGTCACCGACCGATGGGTTCTTCTTGCATTTATAGAGAAGTCTCAACGGAGTTATACAAGCGTAGGTCGGATGCGGACAGATAAATTGCGTTATTCTAACCTTAAATGACAAAACTAATTACAATAATAACTAAAACAAATAAAACCAAATAACAGGATACCTTTTCTTTTCGTTTTTCTTCCGCCCATTTACATTCCGGTTCGTGGTTAGGGGAGTGCATGCATCTTTCAGAACATAGAGGCCATCCACAGTTTTGGCAAGGGTGGCACGATTCCGGCTGGAGATTGTTGTGGCATCCCAGGCAAACGGGCCCGGTCGTACCGGACGGTCCGATTACTAAAGGTTTTTCTTTTAGAACCAGCTCATCTTTTTTTATTAACCTTTTGGCAACTATGCATCTCCCGATAACAGCATCATTCTTGATCTAAAAGAACTCAAATTCGTTTAAAAAAATATATATGTATAGAAATTTCAATAATCGTACCTCATAAGAGAGGCAGTTGGGTTTATGGTTCGTCCAGTCGCATTTTTGGTGTTCTCTGCTACAGTACGCTACAGACAGGCAGGATGAACACCTACTGGAAGCTGGCTCACCACATACATTGCAGTCCCAACAATTCCCGCCCATTCTAAACATTTTAATCTTACATAGCATGTATTTATTTACTTTAACTTTTAACAACACTATATTGTTTTTTAAAACATTTTCAACTCTACCTTGATTGTACTTATTAGGTAACACCGTTGATGTTAATTATTTACAATTCATGAAGAATCTTACAACGTATATTTTTTAAGAAAAAATATCAGATAATTCTTGTATTTTCTATAATTTCATCAAGCTTGAATACTGTACATAGATAGATAGGTAGATAGAAGATAGAAATAGATATTGATAGGTTGACCTTACGCACTTCAGGATATTTCCTTGATAATTTTTTTTAATTGTATAATTGCGGTTTTTTAGTCGCAAGAAGCAAATGTGATTATTGACACTATGAAAATGTAACGAACGAACTAGGATAAGTTTAGTCACTCAGCAGTGTCTCCCTCTCATTAGGTCAACGAATCTGTCAAGTGGTCTCTCGGTCATAACCGCTTCAAACCACGTGTTGGATTTCCATTAATGATAATTGTAATTGCAATTAGTTTTTATTTGAACGATTCATTATATACACATACAAACTGAATAATATATAAAGTATAAAGGTATGAATAATGCCGTCTGTCACAGTTTGCCAGTAAGAAGAGAAAAACATTCACTAAGGATACGTGTTTATAGTAAAAGTGTACACAATTGTCAAAAAAGATTTTTTTTTCATAGAATACCTATCAAACTTAGTAACTCGCATCGGCTAGCATGGTCTAATTCACCCCTAGAATTCTGCCCAAAGAACGCCCCAAATTCATTTTTCCTATCATTCTTGCTTTTTATAACAAGAATCGTTCAGATGCGTTCGCTTACGCTGCATCAAATGTTCCCTTAACTAATGTCTAATTGAGCTGAGGATGTTTTTAAGCTGCATTCTCCCCACGGCCTTATTAAACTGCAAAGAGAACCATTCAGATAAAGTCATTAACACTACATATGTAGAAGCATGCCCTCAAAAAATAGTACGTCAGAATCGTCATCAATGGTGGAATAAAGATCTGGCTAGTTTAAGGAAAAGGGTCAGAACATCACACAAAAAAGCCTTGCAGTGGAACTCCGAACAGTATTGGAGGGAATATCTCTCCTTGAAAAAGACTATAAAAAAGAGTAAGGAAAACTAAGCGTAAAGCCTGGAGGGACTATTGTCTGAAAACAGAGACTATTAAGGAAAGTGCTCGTGTTTTTAAACTTCTGGAAAAAGATTACATTAATCCTTTAGGTTTATTACAGGATGATAATGGGGAGTACACCATATCCAGTGAGGAGACTCTGAACCTGATGGCTACGACTCATTTCCCCAGGTCAGACTCCTCAGCCATTCTAACAGAGGATGAACTACCAGCACCAAACTAGGTTAAGGCCAATGAACAGAAGCATGTTGATACAAGGCTTCAAGAAATGCAAGGCAGCCGGGGTGGATGGAATATTCCCTGCCCTCCTTCAACAGGATACACCTAGCCTATGGTACAGTATACTACCTAAGGAGTAGTCTGGCACTGGGACATATACCAAAATACTGGAAGGAAATAAGGGTAATTTTCTTACCCAAACCAGGTAAGGTCTCTCTACCTAAATCGTATAGACCTATAAGTATATCTTCTATTTTCATAAAAATTTTAGATAAATACATTAGACATGATTGTGGAATTAATACCATGATACATCCCAACCAGCATGCCTATTTACCAGGAAAATCAGTGGAAACTGCTTTACATTCACTGATAGGCAGGATTGAGAAATCATTACTTAATAATGAATATACACTAGTCTGCTTCTTCGATATCCAAGGGGCGTTTGATAATGCTGATACTTCTTGCATTATATCAGCACTAAATAATTACAATGTTGACCATCACCTTACTAGATGGGTGAAGACCTACTTGGAGGGAAGGATGGTCAATATGTGCTTAGGTAGTAGTACTCTCAGAATTAACGTCCAAGGAGGCTGTCCACAGGGAGGTTGCTTGTCACCTCTTTTATGGTTAATTACAGTAAACAGTTTAATAGAACTTCTGAATAATTTAGGTTTCTACAGTCAATTATTTTCAGATGACGGTACCATAATGATCACGGGTAGGGATCCCCTGACTCTTTCACTACTGATGAAGGATGCCATGGGATTGCTTTCTGAGTGGTGTTGCGATAAAGGTTTATCAATAATCCAGCTAAACTGATAATGTTTAGTAGAAGAAGAACATTAGGTAATAGGTAATAATAAGGTAAATAATTTCAGGGCATAGAAATAAAATTGGTGGATTCGATCAAATTCCTTGGGGTGACGCTTGACAGGAAACTTGATTGGAAAGGTCATATTAATAATATATACAGGAAAGGCACAATATCTTTGGGACAATGTAGGAGGATTGTTGGTAAAACATGGGGTCTCAAACCATGGGTAGCTAAATGGCTATATACCGCAATTATTCTACCTAGATTATTGTTCGCAGCTTTAGTATGGTGGAAAGGGCTAGAAAATAAAGAGAACATTAACAATTAAGGTCATTTCAAAGACTAGGCTGTTTGAAGATGACATGAGCATTTTTAACTACACCCACCCTAGCACTTGAGATCATAACCAATGCCACGCCTTTACACATAGAGGCTAAGGTCAGAGCACTAACCAGCTGCTACAGATTAATTAGCGAAGGCAGCTGGAACCATAAGGGTAATAACGTAGGTCACTCGAAAATCATACAATTATTGAGTAAGGTTAACGGCTAACTATTAAGCGTTAGCGATAAAAAGGTTAAAACCCCTTCGGGGAAAAAGTACTTTCAGGTAATGGATAAAGACCATCGTAACATAGACTGCTATACAGATGGTTCACTTACAAAGGTAAAGGAAGCGGTGCTGGAATCGATATACCTAAATTAGGTATCAGCATCTCCTCCCCTTTTGGCAATAACACCTCCATTTTTCAGGCAGAAATCTGGGCCATTAATGTGTTGTAGAACACTAATAAAATCAAGGGAAAAGATATTAGATTTTTTTACGACAATCAGGCCAGTCTTAGGTCATTACAAAAAGATTTATCAACATCTAGACTGGTGGAGGAAACTGTTGATCTTATCAATAGAATCACTTCCAGGTATGAGAATAGGGTAACCCTTATTTGGATACCAGCACATAAAGGGCACTATGGCAATGAAGAGGCGGATAGCCTGGCCAAAGAAGAAGGCTCAAATACTGCGTTTGTCGGGCCCCAACCGGTATTACCTCACTCTATAAGTACAGCGAATGAGAGTATCAAAAACTGGGGTATGAAACAATTCCTTAGGGAAAGGAATTTGTCCCCAGGACACAAGCAATCGAAAGAGTTTGTTAAGGCGATCAAACCAGTAGAATCGAAATGGCTATTCTCTAACTCAAGGAAGGGAATTAGGAGGTTAATAGGTATCCTGACGGGCCATTGCCCACTGAGAAGACACCTCTTCGTAATGGGTATTCTACCAGATAATACCCTTTTGCCGGTGTTGTGAAATAAAAGAAGAAACGGCACGGCACTACCTCGCAGAGTGCGATAGGTACGCTAGGTCTAGATTCCAGACTTTTGAAGGAGAGGACATCACCAAATCACTCCCCGAGATTAAATGGTCCAAAATCTTGGGGTTTGTGAACAAGTCAAGAGGTTATGCAGGACACGTGAGCCGAACAAGTCCCGGACCTTTTAGGGATGGGGTACGACTACGAGTCTACCCAGGCATTTAACCTTAACCCCTCGGGTCTTGGTCGCCCACCCTGCATAATATATATACCATTCAGATAACGAAATCCATGTTTTAAACATTTCTGCTGGTATATTATAGGGAAGACGGTGCTCCGAGTAATCAATAACTTTAAGACAATAACCGAAAAGCAGTTCCAGGGGACATAGGTACAAGGGATCTATTGTGGTTTCAATGTTTAGGATGTGGTTCGGTATTGAAAAAGGAAAAGGAAATAATTATTTAATAAACATTTTTTCTTCGTCTTAGCGATCACAACCCCAAATTTGTACGGCGTAACTGAGGATAGAGCTTGAAACTGTGACAAATACATGATACTTGACATTCAGTGAAAGACACCCAGTGAACACTTTCTCCTTCAAGTGTTAAGGTAAAAGCTGCGCAAAAATTCTAGAGAGATTCACAAAATCTCATAACCCCCGAAGAATAATAATTATTAGCAAAGAGGTTAGTTAAAATTCGATTAAAAAAATATATAGAGGGGTTACTGAACTTCAAAAGAGGAAAATTTACTCGAGAAAGAGAAGAGTTTATAAAATTATTAAAGATTAATATTTCAAACCCCTTTTCACTTTTTCACGAGGTGGGACCCCCCTCCGAGAGTTTTTATTGACTGCAGAGTTAATAAAAAACAAATTGAAACTAAACGAGCATAAAGAAAAAAGGCTGACTACACCAAACTTAATAAACTTTCTTACGCGAGGTATTAAAAAAATAAGCTGAAAAGAAAAAAGTTTCAATTACGAATTCTCTTTCTATGTTAAAATAAATTTGTCAAAGCTGATTAACATCCAGGGAGAAATGGTGGGTTGTTTCCAACGGGTTTGTACGTCTTTATTATTATTGAGAATGATCACCCGCCGCCTTTCTTTTATTGTAAGTGTAAATATTTCTAAAATTCTAAATTTACTAAAAAAATTCTCTGACATTATTTTGCGGATCACTTACTTCACTTTTACATTAAAAAACAGACTTCCCCCAGTCTATACGCCAACAACAAAAATTACAAGCATCCGTATAAGTGAAATACTTAATACTGTACTGAGACAGCAGATTGGTCGAACACTTAGATATACCGAGGGAGTTCTAGCAAGCCATCATCTGAACAGAAGACTTGGACAACAAAAGTCTGCTTAAACCAAAATCAGAATGACCGCTACAAACAAACGGTCTACAAAAGAATCATTAGACCTCCTATCATTTGGGCATAGAGAGCAGAACTGTGGAGTACCACACACCCAATCATTCCCTT